CCTTTAGTAGTGACATTCTCTCGAATTTCAGCCTTGAGGCTGATGAGGCTTGACATGCCCCGTCATTTGATTATTTTTTGTGTTTTTTTTGTCTCGCCGAAGATCCTCATATCAAACCCGAGGGGGTATGTTTTGCAATTAGCAGGAGGAGCTGCGTTTTCTCTGTTTCTAAAGAGTCAAGCCACACTGTCGATCTAACCATTACCTGATTTAGCTTCTATGCTCCTCGTTGTTATTTCTTCATTTTTATGCTTGAGAGAATAATACGAGCTGCAGAGTTGAATAGAGAAGTTACAATCTTTAGCACGAATGTACAACTACTGACGTATACCGATGGTATTGATATCAGAGGCCTTAACAATCGCGCTGTTAGTACTGCTTTCCCCAGGCTTGATAGAGAGGCGAAGCGAAAGGGTCTGGTAGTGAACAATACGAAATATCTCCTGTCATCAAATAAACAGTCATAGCATTCGCAATTCGGCTCCCACGTCAATATTGACGTCTATATGGGAACCAGCATCAGCACCAATAATAATGTCGCCTTGAAGTCTAGCGCAGAATCACGCTTCCCAATAGGTGCTACTTTGGACTGAGTAGGCAATTGAAAAGTAAAGTCCTCTCTCTCCCGTCCTACTATATGCTGAGGAAGCAAGGACAATGACGACAGCTAATAAGTCTGCGTTAAGAGATTTCGAGAGAAAAATTTTGCGTAAGATTTATGGTCCTTTGCTTGTTGGCAACGACGGGTACCGCAGACGATGGAACGATGAGCTATATAAGCTATATGATGATATACATGACATAGTACAGCGAATGAAGAGACAGCGGGTACGCTGGCTAGGTCATGTCGTGCGAATGGATGAAAGCACTCCAGTTTTGAAAGTATTCGATGCAGTACCCCCTGGTGGAAATAGATGAAGAGGAAGACCTCCACTCCGTTGGAAGGATCAGGTGGGGCGCGACCTGGTTTCACTTGGTATCACCAACTGGCGCCAGGTAGCGAAGAGAAGATATTTATGGAACGCTAAGATTGGTTCAGCTATAATCGCGTATGCGGTGCCAACCCTAATAAAGAAAAAGAAGCGAATAGTAATAATAATAATATCAATAACCACATTACCTACTGCACGAAAGCGCCTCAAACAATTTTTTGTGAAGTAGAAGTGCATTTTATGGCGAATATCCAGTCTTTGGGTTTCTTATTTCGGCTATTCGACACCATTTTAAATGATATTGCCTGAAATATATTTGGGCTGGATATTTGAATATTCGTTTGGTGCATCATTTTACTCATTACATATTTACTATTAACACATATTTACAGATACACAAACTCCCTGTTCACAAAAGCATATATTTCTTCTTTTATATGTATGTAACCACTTTACTGTCAAACAATTGCTAAAACTATTTGTGCAGGAGCAATAAACAATCATTTGCATAATACTCACTTTGTGGTGCGGTTGGTCGCCGGCTGAAAGCAGTAGAAGGGTCACCGCGCCACCTAAAATTACACAAATGACCGTTTGGTTGGACCCCATTCACCGCAAAATGACAAACAGTCAGTATTTGCTATGCACAAGTACATACAAACGTTTGCAAATTATATCTGGCGATATAACGGTTGGCCCTGCCGAAAACCGCAAAAGGGCAGTAGCGAATTGAAATACGACATTTGATAAATAATTGCTGAAATGGCGTGAGAATGTGAAAGTGGAATGAGGCATATTTTGCATATGCGGTGGCATATATATATAAGTATGTAATTGCATAGATGGAGACTTTTTATAATTAAATGATTTGCAATGGAAATTTAATGTTGGAAAAATTACATAAAATACGAGGTGTGATCAGAAAATAAGCGTTATTTTAAATTTTTTCAAAAAAGTATTTATTTTTTCATCGATAACCATCTTGTCCTCTTTAAAGGAAACCTCTTCAGATATAATACACTTCTGAAACGCGTATTTTTGTATAGCTAACAGCTCGTAGCAGAACGCTTTGCTTTCATCGGTGTCTTCAGTTTTGGGAAGAGCTGGTGCGCTATCGTAGTGCACAATCCATAATATCTTTGTCCCAATTCTGTGCGTTTCTGACTAAAACCACCAGGACGAGCACTGTCATTGATATCTTCTCGACCCTCCTTCCACATTTGAACTTGTGTTCGGCTCATAATAGACTCGCCAAACGCCACAGTCAGCATTTCAAATGTCCCTGCTCATTTAATTTCATTTTTGACACAAAACTTAATACAGTTTCTGGTTTTTTTTAGGGACTGAACTGTTTCAGACACACTATTTTTTTTTTTTGGAAATAGTGAAAAAACCACAACAATAGATTTGGAAGGTAAAAGTTATAGCTGCTATTTCGGGGAAACCACCACGATTCCTCATCTGACTTTTTTCCAGACACCTTTGTTTGAACAGGATTTGAACTTAGGATGCCCACAGCACGGGTCAATGGTTATCCCATTAAGCTTCATATGTGCTGCTTTTACTTATTGTTGTTTTTCACTTTTGCTTTTAGCTACATATCCACGATACCCCAAAATAGGGGGAGAGGGTGGCTTGGAGTATATTTAGAAGAGATTCCACCTTTATTGATGCTGTGATCACTGCCACCATATGCGATTGAATGTGACCGCTTGCAGTCACTATGGGAAGTCACCATGTTCGGGAACGCAAACCACGGATGTTTCGCATACAGACGAGAGTTTGTTTGAAATTTACCTACATTTTATTGCCAACTGTGAGGAGTTCTAACATGGTTGGGAAATTTCTTGCTCATGTCGATTGCAATTGCTTCTGAGTGAGCTCCGCAACCGACCTTGACATCAAATTTTGAACCGTCAGTGAAGATGAATACGGATTTTTGATCCAAAACTGTTACGGTTTCCCAATCAATCCTTTCTGTGATTTTTACTGAGAAAGTGTCGTCAAACGAAAAATTAATAGTTGTTGGTTAATAATGAATTGGATAATACAACAATAGAATAGAACACTCGGCTGTTAAGTCAGGATCCGTTGGTTCGATCCCTGCCATAAGAACTCTGATGAGGGGATGTAATGATCTCCGAAACAGCTGTCACTTCTACCATTTTTCTTTGTTGTATAACAAATATTCAATTCATATAAACAACCAGGCCTCGCTGTTTACTTAATACTTGTATGAAAAAATTAATATATACCATGACCGCAAAAACAAATTATGACGAATTGTTTTGTCCACTTGTCTGAACGTGTTGGGGCAAATGTTTAAGGGAACTTAAGTTGATAATATGAGGATATGGGATATTAAAAAAACACCCTTTAATTTATTTATGGAACCGCTTGTCTTTTCAAAATTTGTAATTTGGTTAAGCGTCTAAGTGTAATAAATATATAAACGTTCGAGCCTCTTTTGAAGCACGCTGGACTTTAAGAAAATAAATGCCATTGCAAACAACAGGCTCTTTAGACGTATCACTTCGGTGATCAATATATAAAATATGCGAGAAAGCAAAAATTCATATAACAGGGAGCAGTTAGCCAGCGCCCAAAGATATGCAAGGATTTACGCTCCTCGCGAAAACACCACCTTTGTATAGCCCATGAACTATATGCCGTCTTGGTTAATACCCTTTACCTATTTTCGCCTTGCATGCTTATTACTTTAACAGATGACAAAAAATAAACTGTCTTACAATTATTTTGGATGCTGCCAATAGAGATCTTTGGTCTCTTAACCATTTTTGATTTATTTGGCTGCTCTTAAGTAAGGTTTTATCTTTGAATATTTCTAAGTAACAACTAGAGCGCCATCTAGCAGGTCAAATAAAATACCCTGCCCAAATTTGTATGGATATATTCATGTGATTAAGGAAAACATTGAATCATTTTTTATACAGTTTGGGTTATGAATATTGCATTCATAGAATAATAGAATTACTATAGTGATTTTCGAGAGAATGTAAGTAATTCATTATTTATAATTTGTATCGTTTTTGTGTTAATATTTAATTTTAAAAATAATTTGGATATAATTTCTGTTTTTATCTTCTTTCCCCCCATATGTTTTCTGTGTGTTGATTACTCATTGTCGACGATAACAACAATACTAGGCAACACTTTGTCAACACTATCGCCATCATTATCAACCACTGCCCATTTAATTTGACTTGCGCTGCTAGGAAGTGCTGAAATTTGGCTGCTGCCTATGGGCTGGTTTACTCAGATTTTTTATGGTTGTTTCCCGAATAACGGTATAGCACAGAGCTAGACTAATTTGTAAAAATTCTAGTTGGAAACTAGTATTCTGAATCCTCATTAGTAATGTAAAAAACAAAGCAAAGTATACCCATAACTGAACTAGTATTTAAGTAGTTTGAAGCTGATGCTTACCTTGGACGTTCGACATTTCACTGAAATCGCTGTGATAGTGATACAAATATATATATATATAAATATGGTTAGTGTAAAAATCCAAACTATTAACATTTTAGTCGACTAACAGTATTCTTCTCCGCGGGTTGAATGTGCGCAATGGGCAGCGCTGTTGCAGATTGTTGTCAGCTCTTTTTACTACACTGTGGTTATTATTGTATTTTGTATGTTTATGTTGGTTTTGTTCGTTAATTAATTTGTGATTTGCGGTGGCTAAAAAGAATTTCAATATTTTGCAATTAGAAATAATTGCGGCTTTAGCGGTGGTATGGAATTGTAGAAAGAAGTGGCACGAGTAATTGCACATTATGTTTAAATTAATTATACAATAATTTTCTTAATAAAATTCATATTACTGTATATACCGTTTTTTATGCACTCATTTTCAGTAGCAATAATTTTTTCGCTTAAAACAATTTTACTATTGAGAGAGATTGAAGATTTGTAACAACTTGAAACAAGGACATTTTTACCGGGCAGTGAATGTGGCGCTCATTTTCAAAAATCGTAATTACGGTGAGATTTGCATGTTAGATTAGATTTTTCCATTCATATATTTGTTTTTCTTATCTCTATAAATGTGTAGGACTGACTGAGGCTTAGTTGTGGCACGCAAATGCCAGTATTACAAGTTCGAAACAAAAGCACTAAAGAACCTTATAAGACCTCATTGTTCTATTTACCCTTCTCCTCTATTAATTTTTAGTGATCCAGAATGACCAGAAAGCCTTAATAAGTATAAAATCGTAAATATTATAAAATTTATTGTGGCTTTCAAAGCTTTTAATCCAGTGCGTTAAGCTGACCATGTTTAAAATTAACTCTTCAAATTGACTGTGGAAAGACCTCACACTCCAAGAACTGTACTAGAAAAAATTGTAGGAATTTATTTTTTTTAACAAAAGTATCATTTATATCACTAAAATTTCTATATTTATTTAATCTCAATCCACTTTTTTCCTCATTTGATATTGAATCAACAGTCTTGATAAATTTTGATATGGTATATCAAAGAGTAAGGTAAGTAATGTTGATAATAAAACTAGAATAACCAGAAGTCCGATAAATTCAGCAAACTGTAATGAAAAATGAAAATCTATTACATTCTTAAAAAATAAAAATAAAAAATTAAAAATCCTAAAGTATTTTTAGAAAACTATATTAAGAAAATAATGAAAACAATAAGTAAAACGAAAATAAAATAAAAAAACCTGAAGAAACGTTAAAAAATATTAAAAAATCAAAAGCAAAAAAAACAAACGAAAACAAAAAGCATATGAACAAAATTAAGTAAAAAAAAAAAAAAATAAAAGAAGTAAGACAAAAAAATGGAATGAAACCAATAAGAAAAACATTCAAAAACTAAGAAATGGATTAACAAAAAGCAAAACAAGTTTAAAAAAACAGTACTGAAAAAATAATAATAAAGAAGGATAAAAAATAATTTAATTACGAAAATAAAATAATTAAAGCAAAAATTAAAAAATTTAACAGAATTTCAGAAAATAGAAGATAAAATAAATATACAGGAACAGAGGAAACGCTATGGATATAAAAAAATTGAGAAACAAAATTGAAAAAAAAAAACTAAAATAAAATGAATATATAAAATTAAAATTAAGCAATTTGTAAATAATATTAAAGAACAAAAAAAAATTGAAAATGGAGACTAGAAAAATTAAATAAATAAACAGCAACAGAAAATCAGTGATTAAAAAAACTCTTAGAGAAAACGCTATTGATAAAAAAAAATAAAAAATAAAAATTAAAAATATAAGAGGAAATATATATTAGATTAAGTAAACAGGATCAAAACAAAATAACTAAAATAAAATGAAAATATAAAAAAATTAAGCAACTTCTAAATAACAAAAAATAACATAAAAAAGAAAAATTCAGTCCTGAAAATATAGTATAAGAATAATGTTTAAAATATTACAAAGAACTAAAAATGATTGAAAACACAGTTCAAAATTACAAACTACCAACAAAAGTTAAACAAAAATCAGTATAGAAAAGTGAATAAAAACACACAAAACAATTGTAAGAAAGTAAATAAAATAATAAGTTTAAAAAAATTCATAATAAATTAAAAAAAATTTAGTGAAAAAAAAAATAAAAAAAAATCAAAAAACAAAAGCATAAAAAAACAGTCAGAAAACAGCACCAAAAGAAAAACTGAATAAATAAAATAAGAAAAGAATTAAATAATTCTAAGAATTTATGAAAAGAATAATAAATATTGTTAAATTTAATGAAAACAAAAAACCAAAACAAAGCAAAAAATTTCAAATATTTACAAATCTTAAAAACAATTTTAAAAAGGACAAAAGAAAGATTTAAATATTATATTATAAAGAATTATAAAACTAATAATAATAAAAAATACAAAAAATAATTAATAAATGAATAGAAAAAAAAAATAAAAATTAAAAAAAATTAGACAAAATTAAAAAATAATTAAAAATAAATCAAATAAAAAGCAGTTTAACGAATTTATTTTTATTAAAAAAAGAAAAATGTTAATAAAATGAAACTAAAAAAAATATTGACATTTAAAACACAAAAGATGAAATAAAAAATGAATAGTTTCGGAAAAACTGAGAAATGTAAGAAAAAGTTTACAAAAATATCTAAAAAGCTTAAATGAGGAAACAAGCATCAAAAATAATATAATAAAAACTAAATAATAACAATAAAACAAAAAAAAAAAAAAAAACAAAAAAAAAACTCACCAACGACAGTGGATTCGCATATAGATTAGATCGACTAAAGCCAGGTAGTGCAAACACCACTATTGGATTGATCAAAAACATAGCGTAAGCAACTCTGTTAAATTTTTGAAAAAAAGTCGTTTCGAAAAAACGGAAAAACCAACGCATGCGACCATGCGCATTCGAAAGAATCAAAATACAGCTTGTTACGGTGAAAATGATGCGCTCGAACAATAGAATCGTGGTTGAAGTGAAAACGGAGAAGTTGTGATTGGTCGGTATGAAAATGCAGCCGAAGAAAATGAGCGCAACTAAATAATCAAAAAAGTGTTGTATCTGCTTGGTAAAGTGCCACTCAGTGGGTTTTTGTACGACAAAGTACCAACCAGCTATACCACCGCACATATAAGCCAATATACGCGCAAAAGGATGTGTATAGATTTCAGTTAGGAAAGTAAAAGTCGCTTCGATTGTCTGATCGAAATTTAATTTGAGCCCAAAAGTGTAGGTATACGCAATACTTGTGCCAGTGAGTGCGGCTAGGCAGAGTTTTGTGCGTTTTGGATGCCTGGAAAATAGTTGAAAACGACATTTAATGAAATAAAGAAATATATAGAAAATAACACCTACTTCACATATAGAAAAAGCAGCACTGTCGCTAATATGGAAAACTGCATATCACACGCCAGCGACCAAGTCCAAAGGCCACACATGTCATTGTGATCGAAGAAATTCTGTATGAGGAGCACATTGCGCCACCAATATTTTTCACAATTTTCATACACTTTATGCTCGATATGAAATACGGATATGTCATCAAGCAATTTCGAGCCGAAATCTGATAAGCCGATAGTTAGAAAATATAAGGGTGCTAGTCTGAAAAGATAAGAGAAAGGAATAACGTATTTTCTAATGACCTAACCTTAAAAATTTTCTGAGTATCTTATACTCACCTCAAATATCGATGAAATAAATGCAGGCCCATCAATTTAAAGTTTTGTTTTAGGCTATTTTGCCGTATAACCGCCAGCAGCTTAACATTTCTAAAGTGATTATATGCTTGAAGAAAGCCACTGAAAAAAAAAAAGTTGAATTAAATTTAATATTGCTACATTTTGCAAGACCTCAAATACCTGATTGTGAAAAATATATCCACAAATATATCGACATTTCCGACATAAGCCTGATAATTGTAGAGCGTCACCTTATTTCTGGTGCCATGGAAGAGAAACATTAAATAATGATAGACGGTGACGCAGATGGCGCTGCCAAAACGCAAGCCATTCAACGCGGCGAAAGTGTGCTCTACCTTAGCTGGCGCGAAGACATGCAGCCAATTGGCATCAAAGTCGAAGCAAGCGATAAAGCTGGTGACATTCAAATCTAGCTCGCTTTTGTGAGGTTTTATTGTTGCGCCGGATGTGTTGGTCGTTTCCAAAACATTGCCATTTGTGCTTCGAGAATTTCTAATATTTGCGTTTGCTTTATATAAATCTTGAGATTTTCTCAACAAACTCGCCGCCACTGTAAGAGCTATTGTTGTAGCTAGAAAAAAGCAAGTCAAATAAAATGAGGTTCTACGAAACGTCGTTGATTTCAGTTTAAGATCCTTGGCGTAATCATATTGCAAATTCATCTCATAAAACTCATTGGCCGCATTGAGGTCTGTAGATAAATAGGCTTGCACGAGTTGTTGAACTTCATGAGCCGTGCAAGCGCTAGGCAAACAGAGGCCAACATGTAGGCGTGACGCAAACGCTATTACAGCTGCATCGACTTGCCAGCTGGAGTTGTGCCGCAGGTAGAGGACACGAAAATCGACGTTGAAAGGTGCTACTTCGGTAAGAAGTTCTGGTTTCATTTGATGCCGTAAATATGTGGAAATTTGTACGTGTGTTTGTCGGCTGACGGCGCTGCAGACTTCACTGTTGCCCAACCAGAAATTATGACCGAAAGTAAAGCCGGGCTCAAGGCTAGCTGAGGCGTCAAACACTTGGGGATGTAAGGAAATTTGTGAAAATTTGGTAGTAATTACTTTAATAATTGTAATCAAATATTTCAAATATTAATTTATATCATTTTTTTAAATTTTCATTCAATTCATTTTATTTCTAATTTATTTTTTTTTTGCAACCCTGAGCAACAGCCATAGCCTCTACCTGGAGATGTCGCTGCTGTCTTCTGTTCTCGACTAAGTGACTCTTCAAATATATGGGAAAAGTCCAGTTAGTCCCGTTTAGGATTTCCACCTTTTGTGGAAACATTTAAAAGGCCAATGTTGCCGGCCTGAATCCCTTCTTTTGGTCCAGCAGCCACAGCAGCAACATCTCAGTTGAGGGTATCGATATATATTATGTAGGGTTTGCATACATATATACATTTTTTAAATAAACTTTAATATATTATTTAATAAACCAATGTTTTATTGAGAGCTTGGCGACAAGCATTTAGATAGGTTTACAGCTTCCTGAAGGACCGGCACCTCCCCCGATCCCCGTTGCTGGAAATCAAGAAGGATTCCGGCCCCTAATTAGCCCCGATACGAAACATGAATGTTTCATTTAAAAACTTCTTCATTCTTGTCACCATATTCATATATAGTTTTATTTCTCTTAATCTATTTCCAACTACTGTAAATATTCTTTTATTTCTAATTTTATTCTGCATAATTTTACTTAGTAGTATTTTCCGTCATTTCAGATTAGTTTAATTTAGTTAATTATTATTATTTGGTTTAATTTTTGACTTATGTATTTATATTTTTTTTTACTTTATTTAAAGTTACTTTATTGTACTTAATATTGTTATATTTTATTTAATTCTGATATTTTGTTTTGGTTAAATTTTTATTTCGTTTTTCTAATTATGTTTCGCTTTATTTTATTTTAATACATTTTAGTTAATTTTATTTTCCTTAATTTATTTAAATTAATTATTTTTCATTTCATAATATTTTATTTTATATATTTATAATTTATTATATTATTTATTTATTTTTTATTATAAATTTTATTATTTTATTTAGTTTTCGGGATTTGTTTTCATAATACTTTTTTCATTTTATTGATTTTATTTTATTTATATTTTTTTTTGGTTGCATATTTTTTTGTTTTTATATTTTTCTTGTTCATATTATTATTATTTTTTTCCTGTTTCATATGGTATTATTTTATTTTTATTTTATTTTTTTGGTTTCATATTATTTTATTTTAATTTCTTTTCTTGATTCATATTATTTTATTTTTTTTGCTTCATAATATATTTTTTATTATAATTTAATTTTATTTTGTTTCATTTTATTTAATTTTTTTATTTTACTTTATGTTAATTTATTTTATTTTATTTTATTTTTTATTTGATTTAATTTATTTTTTGATTTTATTTTATTTTATGTTATTCTATTTTATTTTATTTTATTTTACATTATTTTATTTTATTATAGTTATTTTATTATTTATTTTATTTTATTTTATTTTGTTTTGTTTTATTTTATTATTTTTTATTTTATTATTATTTATTATTTATTTTTATTTAATTTAATTTAATTTTAGTTTATTTCATTCTTTTTGTTTTTTTAGGTTTCATATTACTTAATTTTTTATTTTGTTGAGTTTATTTTATTTTATTTTTTTTATTTTGTTTTATTTTATTTTATTATGTTCTATTTTACTACAATTTATTTTATTTCATATTATATTATTTTCGTTTTATATTTTGTTTGTTTCTTATTAATTAATTTAATTTTCCTATACATTGTGGTTTCATTTATTTAATTGTATATTGTTCTATTTTATTCTGTGTACTTTTATTTAATTTAAATTTATTTTAGTTTTACTTTATTTCATTTCCTATTATTATATTATATTTTGTATTTATTTTTTTATTTCATTTTATATTTCTAACTTCGTGTAGTAAAAGGAGAGAATACTTTTATTTCATTTTTTTTCTGTTTAATTTAGTTGGGGCTAATTTTATTTTTTATATTTTAGATTAATTTAACTTAATTCTAAACTTAGCTTTATCATCTTTTTATTGCTTTTTTTAATAAGTAAAATTTATTTAATGAATTATTGCATTTTGTTTGTTTAAGTTATTATTTTAATTTTTTGTAGTTTTTCTTTTGTTTTTTTTTTTTTTGGTTTGTATTCTTTTACTTATTTGTATTTTGATAATTTAAATTTACTTACTTTTTTATATTTAATATATTTAAATTTTTACTTATTTAATTTTTTTACGTATTTATAATTTCGTATCACATACTCACTTTTCACCGCCCAGGGCATTTTCGTCCGCACACCCAGCTGAAATAATTGCAGTTGCTCCTGGCATTCCTGTTTAATTAAATATTCATTACCGATTGTTGATAAGCCATAAAGTAGCGAAGTGCGTTGAAAAGTCTCATGTAAATTTCGCTGATTTGCCGGCACCCGAGGCAATGCGTTGGCAGTGCAAATGTCATTTGCAATTGCCGGAGTGATGATTAATGTGCACACAAATGTTACAGTTACAATCATTGAACACATTTTGACTAGATTTTTGGTGGATGATTTTAAATTAGTTTTCCAATTTTGATTTCATTCTCATTTTGCAACTAATTTTATGCTGATCATTTAGTTTTTGTTGTTTATACAAATATCTTTATTACCCTCATGTATTTAACATTGTTGCTGTTATCGGATTTTCGGTATTTTATTGAATATTGATTAAATGCACAATCACTCTACATATATACATTTATGCACGCCCTGCTTATTACACTCACTCACTGCACTCGCACCTCCATTCGGTCGCACAAACAATCGCCAACAAAGCGCGCTTAGACACTTGCAGTGTGTTTTTAATAGCATTTTTATCAGCGACACTTTCTATAACGTGGTATATAATAAGTTGATGTTTTTGAACTCATTTCTTAGAGATGTTGTCTCGAATGAAGGCAGTTTAGTTTTCGATATGTATTGAATAAGCTATTCAAACTTATACTGTACGTTTAAGTGAGAATTATGCTGAGATTTTATTAATTGTTTTCGATTCTAAAAATATGAGGGTGATTAGAAATTTATTCATATTCCAAATTCAGGGAATAATGAGAGGTGCATATCCATTTGCCCCTCCGTGTGGACGATAAATCAAGTAACGACTGAGAGATTTGGGATGAAAATTACATACGTTAAGGAGAAAGGCCTACGTGCAGGTATATTTCATCTTTAGAGTTATTAAATAATCAAAATGTGAACATTTTCTCATATGACTTTTCTCTTATCATAAAAATTGATCTTAGCAAAAACAGCTGATTTTTGTTTACATTTCAGTGTTCACCACAGGAGTGGGGAAAAGCACAACAACCTGAGGCTTTATGTTTTATCAAGATTGACACAGAATACCAAAAAAAGCTTTTGCTTGCTAAAAATATTGTTAAATTACTAATATTTTGTTAATTTGTCAAGTACGCAGAATAGGGCTGTTATAATACATACTCGTATATGTCCTCTCAAACTTAGCATGGTGTTATTTAAAATAATTTTTCAACACTAATTAAATTTAATAAAATTTTATTTTATTCTGCTTTAATTTTACTTAATATAATAAAATTCAATTTTATTTCACTTTTTTTATTATATTTTATAAATTTTGATATTATATTTTACTATATTATGTACATTTATTTAAATGATTTTAAATTATTTTAGTATACCTTATTTTAGTTTATAATGTTTTTTTTTTGTATTTAACTTGTAATTTTATTTTTTTTAAATATAATTTATAACGTTTTAATTATTTTTCATCAATTTATTTAACTTTATTCTATTTTTTTATATTTTAATTTTTTATTTTATATTGTTTTATTTTATTTTATTCAATTTAATTTAATTTAATTTAATTTTAATTTATTTTACTTTATTTTATTTTATTTTATTTTATTTTATTTTATTTTATTTTATTTTATTTTATTTTATTTTAATTTAATTTTTTTATTTTATTTTATTTTAATTTATTTTGTTTAATTTAATTTAATTTTAGTTTACTTTATTTTATTTCATTTTAGTTAATTCAATTTTGCTTAATTTTATTTTATTTATTTTTTATTTTATTCAGTAAGACAATTCTATTATCCCACCATTTTAATATTTACAAAAAAAGGTAAATCAGCCCTCGTGCCGCATATAACTTTTTGTATACTATGTAATTACTTTGTTGTAATATCACCAGGCGCTTGCAAAGCTTTAGTGCTCCCATCAAAGGTGAGCCAAAGAGCGCAAAGTACAAAAGCATTAAACCTCCGTAAGCTAATCTAATTTTGTTGAGCGTACATACTTATTACATATACATATGTATATGCATACATACCTGAAGAAACATAATCTTTCTTTAATTTGATAAGACTGATCTTAGTATATGTACAAACACACTTAATCATTCATACTGACTCTTTATGCGACATATGTACTTACATATAAACACTAAGCACTCAAACTCATTCATGTTGCTAAAATAATTTACTCGCTTAGCTAAGTTTGATAATGTTGTGATTATTCTGAGCTGCGAAAACAAGCTGACGTTATTCTTTCTTCTTTTTATTCATAATTTTCATTGATTTTTGTTGCCTTTTACTTGCTTACCTTTTAACCTACTTTTGCGGCAGATTTGTAATTGCTGACTCAGAGACTAGAGTCAGTTATTGAATGAAAATTAAATTAATTACGACCGCATTGAACTTGGCAATTTAAAAAAAATATACTTATATTATAATATACATACATATATTTCAATATATTACAGAGTAGAAAAATTCTATACAAAATCAGGTGTAAAAAAAAAAAACAACAACTGATAATCAATATTTCTGCTCAGAGCTACTCAGTTTGCCGGCTATTAAAATCATGATTAAAGATTTCAAGATAATTCAAGATCATTGGCCTGTACAGTGTGACGCAAATTAATAAATTAACTATTTGAAATGTGAAAAAGTACGACATGGAAAAGAGTATTAAAAATTTAAATGTTTACTTGATTACTTGTTTATTACTATTTGCTGCTGTTGTTGTACGAAATGCAAAACAAGTGTGAATAGATTGAAAAGCTGCGATTGTGTGGATGATAAATTGTTGTGTTGGTCAAACAAATAAAAATTAAACTCCAAATAAAATCAAATAAATAATTTAAACAATGAAACTTTTAACTAAAGAAGTCTTATAATTTTTGTATGTTGAAATGGGATTTGTTTTTTAATGCTCTTCCCCTAAGCAGTGAAGATGGAAATGATGCAAAAATAAAGAATAAATAACAATATATCATATATGAATTAATTAAAAATTAATTAAAAATTCATCATTTTGGAATATTAGGCTGTACGCCAATTGAAGACGCCAAGAGCAGTGAGACCCATCTTCACCTCATCTTACCAATGAAGTAGAGGTAGCAGTGGCAGAGTGATAGCTGGAGTGCTGTCGCCCATTAGGATGACATATCCTAGTCAGCATAGATGCCGTCTTCTGATTAAAGCCGTACTTTTTGCGTTCTTTCAGCTCGGATTCGTCTTTACTAATACGCTAAAAAACGAAAATCTTCTGTAATAATTTTTTTATGAAAACATTTAATGCCAACTCATCAGATGCTGCCATCATCCAGGTATCAGTACAATATAGTAAAAAAGGTAACGTAAGCTCCTTATCATAGTGTTTGACGCTTGTTCATCGAAAGAGGACTTTATTTTTCAGTTGCCTACCTGACCCATAATAGTACCAGTTGGCAAGAGTGATTCTGTGTTGACCTCCAAAGCTGACATTGTTGTTAGTGCTATCCAGAACTTCGTTGTTGCGATTGCCAAAAGTCACATGGAAGCCAAAGGGCGAATGTTTGGCTGATTATTTGCTTGATGGGAGAAGATTTTTCGTTTTATTGTTGTTCAGAACCAGACCCGTTCGCTTAACTTGCAGCGAAGATGTTAAGGATCTCGATGTCAATATCATTGGCATATACCAGCAATTGAATAATTTTGTCAAATATTTACTAGTCTGCAGCATCACGCGATAAAGAGTCAGCCTGTTTGAAAGCGTGTTTGGTACTGAAAGGCTCGAATATGTCTATCCCTATTCTATCTATGCTCCTGATATTGTCCAGCCTCAGTTTGGCTGTGTCTAACGTAACGAAACGTATACGTTTCGAAAGGCAGCTGTGGCTTAACGTTTTTCAAGCTCTTGCATAAGATATCAACGATGAATTTACTAAGTCTGAGACCACATTTCATTGGTGGCAGCTTAAATCTTTTTTAAAACAACTTCGATAGGCTACTTTTGATATGGAATTGGAAATATATCCCACTATTGTGTGGGCCGCATAGTATGGATTTGACGAAGCACATACAATTCTCACTCATCGGACAAAATTTTGAAAGGAAACATGCAACAGGTATTCTTCAATAAACCTCATAGAAAATCTGAAGAAATTAGGCGGTGAACAATTAACGCCCGTCTCATTGGTATTCTTTAAGTTGACAATCTGTTTTTGAGCTTCATCATCAATTTGGATACACAACCCACGGGAATTTTACATTCACTGTAAATTAGTGTGACAGCACTAAAGAAGTATGCACTGGTCTTGACTCTTCTGTAAGTCACCGCATTATCTCATAAAACTGACGAGCACTATTTGGGTGAATTACTCAAGCTCTTCATACTCATACCTCTAGTTTTTTCTATGTTAATGCTGTATGATTTCAAATCAAATCTCCTGCAGATTGTAGCCTGTAGCTCGTAGTTACTTTTCTCTAGAACTTGTAGAAAAACAGTAGTTTCGTTGTCGACTATACATACGGAGCTTAAAATGATGTTCTACAGTTCCCTTATACGATGTTGTTGATCAACCTTTTCAGAGACAGCAGCTTTATGACATCTAATGTTACTACTGTTTGTTTGGATCTCGTACAGTATGCGAATTTAGATTACTGGACACATGACATAATACACACGTGAGAACTGACAAGGTGATTGATTTGGCAACAAGCTTTTCAATCCGTAGACTTCGAGTCTAAAAGCCAGGTAGTTCCATATAAGGCGTATTGACCTGCCAGTAAATTCAAACCTTACTTTTTATGATTCCTCAATTTAATTTCTATTTTTAAATTTCTACTTTATATTAAATGAATATTACTCAATTAAAGTAGCAACACCAAACTTGTAGAGGTATGTAGTCTATGGGTATGGTAATGTCACGCGCTTGTGTGCACAATTCGCTTTTAAATCAAATGCATACACACCCACAACATACTTGCCTTGGGTAAATAATTTATTACCAGCATAAATAATATGAAGCAAATGACATGTGTGTGCGGAATAAGTTGAAAATATTGAATGGAAGGCAAATGTATGTATGAACACGTTTTTTGTATATAAGATGGAGCCATTCGGTGCCAAGTCAAGACTATACGGTGAATGTTTTATTAAATCGGGGTTTTGAGTGGTCAAAACTGCAGTCTCAATCGATGTGTGAGAGCACGCGGTGAAGAGTGATCCGTTTTCGTTGGTTGATTTTCCTGATTTTTTTTTATGGCAACTGGCAAACAATTGGTTGTGTACCACTCAAAATTTACTGCGCTGCGTTGTTGCGGTAGTCCTCGTAAATTTGCGTTTGCCATAAGGTAGATAAATCCGTTTACGCGCTCTTCTGCACGCACATTGTAACGTTATGACGCACCCAAACGCTGCTCGCCAAAGCTTGTAATACTCTTACCTTTACACAAGCAATCGCACATGTAATAACAGTAGAAAAATTAAACCGAAAAAACGCAAAGAATTTCCCTTTTTC